CAACCCAGCTCAGTGCAAAGAATTTATAAATCAGGTTAAAGTATACCTTGAAATGCTGCCCCAGGCATTTCCTACAGACAGCAACAAAGTCCAGTTCATGATTTCTTTGCTGTCTGAAAAAGCCCTAGCTTGGGCAAAACCTCTATGGGAGGCAGAGAGGCCCATCATTTACAATTACCCTGAATTTGTTGCGTCCTTTAAAAGGGTTTTTGATATTCCAGCTCGCTCCACTCCTACTGCCAAACAACTCATGTCTAATACTCAGGGCACGAAAACTATTGTTGAGTATGCCAGTGAATTCCGTACCATGGCAGCAGAGGGTGGCTAGAATAACGAGATTCTCGAGGCTGCCTTTGCACAGGGGCTCTCCGATGTAATGAAAAATGAAATTGCAGCCAGAGAATTACCTAAAGATCTTGAGGAACTGATATCATTTGTCACCCTCATTGACATCAGACTCCGAGAGAGATCCTCATCCAGGGAGCGCCTGCGGAGGCCTCCAGTATGTTTGGCACCGAGCTTTTCCTGCCCACTTAAACCTCCCTCACCTCCCATGCCTCCTGGTCCTGAGTCCTCTGTCGGTGTGGAGCCGAGGCAGTTAGGCTTCTCACGCCTCTCTGTTGAGGAGAGAGCCTTTAGGAGGAGGGAGAGCCTGTGCCTATACTGCGGACACCACGGTCACATATTAAAGTTTTGCCCGATTTGTCCGGTAAAGGGCCCGCACCCAAGATACTGTCAGGGGCAGATCTTGGGGGGTCTTTCTGCAGACCCAGAGATAAATAAGGACAAACCCTTGGTGCCTATTATCCTCTCCTGGCCTGAGTCATCCATTAAAACCCGGGCATTTCTTGATTCTGGGGCCGCAGGCTTGTTTATAGATTGTGCATTTGCATCAGAGCACTCTATACCCTTACAGCCTCGCAACTCCCCACTAGCTTTCGAAGCCATCGATGGCCGACCTATACAGCCAACCCTCGTGACCCAGGAAACCGTGCCCATATCTCTGTCTGTAGGGGCTCTACATCATGAGATGATCCAATTCCAGGTCATTTCCTCTCCATACTACCAGGTTGTTTTGGGATACCTTTGGCTACAGAAGCAGAACCCCACAATTGATTGGCGCAAATCTGAGATATTATCTTGGTCCCAGCAATGCACATTTTCCTGTCTCCGGAAACCGGTCAAAGTTTTGGGCACAGTTTCTGCCTCTTCCTTACCCGCTGAGTACCAAGAATTCCAAGATGTATTTGACAAAGGTCAAGCTAGCGTTCTGCCACCACACCGTCCGTATGACTATGGTATCGAACTCCAACCTGGTGCCAACCCTCCCCGTGGCCGGATTTACCCGCTGTCTGTAGCAGAGAATAGAGCCATGGAGGAGTATGTTACCGATGCGTTGTCAAAGGGATTCATTCGGAAGTCATCTTCTCCTGCCGAGGCCGGCTTTTTCTTTGTGAAAAAGAAGAGTGGTGAGTTGAGACCCTGTATCGACTATAGGGGTCTCAATCGCATTACTATTAAGAATGCCTACCTCATTCCGTTGATCACAGAGTTATTTGACCGCCTCAAGGGAGCAACGGTCTTCACTAAACTTGATCTGAGAGGGGCATATAATCTCGTCTGGATAAAAGAGGGCCACGAATGGAAAACCGCATTTAACACCAGGAGCGGGCATTACGAATACCTAGTAATGCCCTTTGGTCTTTGCAATGCTCCGGCGGTTTTTCAGGAATTTATAAATGACGTCCTGCGTGATATGTTGCAGCAATGTGTGGTGGTTTATCTTGAAGATATTCTTATCCATTCCACATCTCTCAAGAACCACCACGCAGACGTTTCTAGGGTTCTACAGAGACTTAGAGAAAATAATCTGTTCTGTAAATTGGAGAAATGTGAGTTCAATTGCAAACAGGTCACATTCTTGGGCTATGTTATCTCAGATGCTGGATTCTCTATGGACCCAGAGAAACTTTCTGCTGTACTAAAATGGCCTCGACCTACGGGTCTTCGCTCTATACAGGGTTTTCTTGGCTTCGCCAATAATTATCGGAAGTTCATACGCAACTTTTCTTCCTTGGTTAAACCACTCACGGATATGACCAGGAGAGATGCTGATCCACAGCATTGGTCACAGGAGGCCATTTCTGCCTTTGAGTCTCTCAAAGTCGCCTTTGCTGCTGCTCCTATACTGGCACACCCTAACCCTGCCTTACCATTCATTCTTGAGGTCGATGCGTCTGAGACAGGAGTAGGCGCCCTCCTGTCTCAACGTCCTAACCCAGAGAGCTCCAGGCATCCGTGCGGGTATTTCTCGAAGAAATTAAACACAGCGGAATGCAATTACCAGATTGGTGATAGAGAACTTCTAGCCATAATTTTAGCTCTCAAAGAATGGAGGCATCTTCTTGAGGGTACTTCAGTGCCAATTTTCATCCTCACAGACCACAAGAATCTGACATATCTTTCCGAAGCTAAGCGACTTTCCCCCAGGCAAGCTAGATGGGCTCTCTTCCTATCAAGATTCAATTATGTGGTTTCTTACTTGCCCGGTACTAAAAACATTCGGGCTGATGCCTTGTCTCGACAGTTCTCCCCTCCATCTAGAGAGGAGATAACCCCTACTCCTGTGATTCCTCCGGACCATATACTGGCCACCATCCGTACTAGCCTCACCTCACACCTAGGCGAGGAGATTCTGGCTGCACAAAGTAATGCTCCTCCAGAGAAACCTAATGGCCGTTGTTTTGTACCTATTCATCTCCGTACTAAATTATTAAGTACTTATCACAACCCCAAAGCAGCTGGACATCCAGGCAAAAACCAATTAATCTGGTCCGTCTCTCGGCAATTTTGGTGGCCTAGTCTCCGTTCGGATGTCACCCCTTTTGTAGCTGCCTGTCCTGTATGCGCTCAAAATAAAACCCCACGACACCCTCCAGTGGGTCTCCTGAAAACCATACCTAATGGTGAACGACCCTGGACCCACTTGTCCATGGATTTTATCGTAGATCTTCCGGTCTCCCGTGGCAATACAGTCGTTCTCATGGTTGTTGATCGATTCTCAAAGATGTCGCATTGCATTCCCTTGAAAAAACTACCAACTTCTCAGGAACTTGCAACAATTTTTGCTCGGGAGGTCTTTCGATTGCATGGGTTACCCAAAGTGATAATCTCAGATAGGGGTAGCCAGTTTGTGTCCAGATTTTGGAGAGCTTTTTGTACACAAATGGGAATTCAGCTTTCCTTCTCCTCTGCCTACCACCCGCAATCCAATGGTGCCGCGGAACGAGCTAACCAAACACTGGAACAGTTTCTGCGTTGCTACATTTCTGACCACCAGAACAACTGGTCTGATCTGCTACCCTGGGCGGAGTTTGCCCACAATAGTGTGATTAATGCCTCTTCCCGGCTATCCCCGTTCTTGGCGAACTATGGCTTTCAACCGTCCATATTGCCTGATACGTTCATGCCACAAGGGATACCGGCATTGGAGGAACATCTCAGGGAACTCCGTTCCACTTGGGTGCAGGTTCAGAACTCTTTGCAACGCGCAATGCAGAACTACAAACTCCAGGCCGACCGCAGATGCCTTCCTGCACCTACCTATCAAGTCGGAGAGAGGGTCTGGCTGTCTTCTCGCAACCTACGGCTCCGTGTTCCCTCACAAAAACTGGCACCCCGATACGTTGGGCCATTTCGTATACTTCGAAGGGTTAACCCTGTAGCTTACGCACTTGACCTTCCTGCTAACATGCGCATCTCTAATGTATTCCATGTTTCCCTCTTGAAACCATTGGTATGTAATCGTTACACCACCTCAGTACCACGTCCACGTCCTGTTCCGGTTGACAATCATGAGGAATATGAAATACGCAGCATCATTGACTCACGAGTCTTCAGAGGACAGATCCAATACTTGGTGCACTGGAAAGGGTACGGTCCAGAGGAACGCTCCTGGGTTCCAGCCTCTGATGTCCATGCACCATCCCTCCTTCGTTCCTATCACGCTCGCTTCCCCATGAAGCCCGGACCCACCAGCAGAAATGGGGGGAGTCGTTGAGGGGGAGGTACTGTCAGGGTTTCTTTGCTGTTTTAAACAGTCACCCTTCCTTTTTCAGTGTCTGAGGTTTCAGCTGTAATTAACGATCAGCTCCTTCAGCATGTTGCCATGGTTACTCACCTGAGAATAGTAATCAACCCTGCTGCTAATCAGTTCAGCCTATTTAAGCAGCAAATCCCAGAACCTCCTTGCCCTTGCGTGGTTTCCTATTCCCCAGAAGTCTCCTTGTTCCTGTGTTTCCTGTTTGCTCCTGGTTCCTGACTCTGGCCTTGTTCCTGACTCTGCTGCTCTCCGTTCTCCTGATCCTGGCTCGTCTGACTACCCGCTCTGGTGACTGACCCCTGCTTGCCTCCTGGACTTTGATTTTGGTTATTTCTTTGTTATTTATTAAATAAAGGTGTTTTTGCATCTAGATCTGTCTCTGTCTGGTTCCTGGTTCCTGACAGTTGTCCCCTATTCTAGCTTACAATAGCTTGGGATAATTTATGATATAAATTTTTATTGCCTAACTGATTAGATGAGACCCTCTATGGATTTGATTATAATCAGAAAATTTATTCCATATCGAGGCCTCTATATTAATCTAGATGTACAGAGATTTAATTAGTGTTGCGTTAGTAAATATGTCCGCCACATTTGATCTACGCAGGGGCTAATTTTCCCTATTTTCATCTGATTCCACATTAACAATTCATGTTCCTCTGTTGAGGTCATTACTTCTTCAATTTCTCGTAGAGAAGGTAAAACCTTGCTTTTCCATTGTCTAGCAATTAGTATAGATGCTGTACTCAATGAGAGGAAGATAATTTTCTTGATTGACTTAGGTATATTACTTGGAAGTAATCGTAGCATGATGAGTTTAGGGTCATGGGACAACTCGATATTTGTAACTTGTTTTATCATCTTTGTAATGTCGTTCCATAGAGAGTTTACAGCTTCGCACGACCACCAAACATGTAACATAGTACCTTTACATTTATGACATCGCCAACACTGGTCTGGCATTGCAGGAAACATAGAGTTTAGACGTGTTGGTACCAAGTACTACCTGTAAAGAATTTTCCGTGCGGCTTCAAGATGGGCGGTACTGGTGGTTAGCCCTATGTGAGCAGTAAAAATTTGTTTCCATTCAGTCAAAGGAATATTAACTTGTAAGTCTTCTTGCCAGTCTTTCATGAATTTCCAATTGCTCTGCACAGCGGGGTTAGCAAGTTTTTGATAGCAGATAGACAGTGTCTTTTTCGGAGGACGTAACGATAAACATTGTTCTTCAAATTCCGTTATAGAAGCTTGTAGTGTTGATTCTACTGTTGAAATCTTGTTTATAGTTACAATTGCTTTGATTTGAAGATAAGCAAATGTAAAATTTGAGGGCAATGAAAATTCTTTGTTGCAAAAATGAAATAAATGCGTGATACCTGCTTTTTCCCATTTCTGATAGGGAACCGTACCATTACAATAGAATAAAATTTTAATTGGGGTCGCGAGGGCCCATGGGTATGCTGAACATATTTTGTACCTGCAAGTGTCCCAGATTCTAAGAAGATGTTTAGTGGAAGATAACATATTTTCCCTTCTTTGCCTCAATTGATAAGGTTTCCAGAGTGTTGCTGAAAGATCTTGTGTTACACAATAGTTACTTTCTATTGCTATCCATTGGGGGGAATAATCCGTCGAATGGGCGCTGATAACATTCATTAAGATGGCTGAGTTATAATATGCTCTTATATTTGGTATTCCCATTCGTCCGTTTTTCACATTTCTCAGAAGTAGAGCCTTGGGTACTCTAGGGTGTTTGCCACCCCAGCTGAAACGTACAATAGATGCTTGGAGAGACGATATGTACTTTTGCGGAAGTTTAATATGCAATGATCTAAAAAGATATAAAATCTTTGGTAGGATTGACATTTTGAGCGCTGCAATCCTTCCTACCCAAGAAAAAAACAAATGCTTCCATGAGTCCAGTTGGTTATCAATTTCTTTCAAAAGGTTTGTATAGTTAGCTGAGAAGAGTTCTTTCTCTTGATTGGTTATTCTGATACCTAAAAATATTAAGTAATCTTCTCTCCAATCATACTGATAGCTTGCTTTTAATCTATCTTCCATTGCTTTAGTAGTGTTAAGACACATAGCTTGCGTTTTTACGATATTAAGTTTGTAGTATGATTGTTGACTGTATATTTGCAGTTCTTTATGCAAAGAAGGGAGTGTTATAAATGGTTGCGTTATTGTAAGAAATACATCATCTGCAAATAAACTAGGTTTATATTCCTTGTTGCCTTCTAACACACCATGGATGCTACAGTTTCTTCGTATTGATATTGCGAGAGGTTCCAAAGCTAGCACATATAGAAGTGGAGATAATGGGCATCCCTGACAGGTCCCATTAGTGATTGAAAAAACTTGCGACTGGAAACCTGCATACAATACTCCACATTGCTTTAACTGCAGAAAGAAAAAAAGGTGGAAATCCAGAGGCCGATAAAGTTTCCTGAAGGAATGACCAGTTCAGACGGTCAAACGCCTTTTTGGCATCAAGGGATATCATAATACTCTCCTGTTTGGTGCGTTTTAAAATTCCATATAAATCTAGCACTTTCCGAGTATTATCTGGTCCCTGTCTGCCCGTCACAAATCCCACTTGGTCCGTGTGTATTAATGTCGGTATGATATTACTGAGTCGTTCTGCAAAGATCTTAGCATAAAGTTTAGCATCAACATTTCAAAGAAATATTGGTCTAAAATTTTGACACATCGTTGATGATTTCCCCGGTTTAGGGATAGTAATTACATGGGCAGACAGGAACTCAGTCGGGAAAGATCCCAATCTAGTGGCGTTGTTAAAAAAAGCTAGTAAGAGCTAAAATTAATTAATGTTTGAATGTAGCATAATATACACTAGTATAACCGCCTGGACCTGGTGTTTTCCCTTTTGGCATATTTTCAATTAGGCGCAACACTTCATCTGTAGTGATAGGTGCACATAGTTTTTCTAAATGTTTTGGTGTTATTTGAGGAAGGGCAATGTTTACCAGGTATGAACGTATAGATATATGCTTGGGTTGAGGTTGAATATGCTGATCCTTCAAATTATAAAAAGTCGTATAGTATTGTGCAAATTCATTACATATCTGTACTGGTTGCATAACTTTATGGCCCCCATGCGTCTTTATAAATGTAAGTCTTGCTTGTGCTTGTTTGTTCCTCAGTCTTTGTGCCAGAACTTTAGTAGCCTTATTTCTCATAGAGTAAGATGTTACTTTTAATTTCTTTATTGCTAAATTAGCTTTCTTGGAATGGATTGCATTAATCTCTTGACACATTTCCAGAAGTTGCTGTTGAAAAGCTTGGGTGGAGTTTGCTTGGTTTTCTTTATGAAGATCCTGTAGTTTTTTAAGGAGAGTAATCAGTGCTGTATGATTTTTTTTCTTGAGGTAAGATGCTCTACTCAATAATGTAACAGAACTATAATCTCTGCCTGGACATATTTAACAATACATAAGCCTGGGAATACAAAAGAACATACTTGTCTGTGTATGTAGATTGTTATACACTAAAAACAAATGCAAACTGCCAAACACCGGACCACCCTGCTGTGTAGTTAATTGGTATTATACCGGCATATACCGTTCGCATGATACTGCACGAATCCTTTGTGTAAAATCTAGGTGGCCGCCATTTTGGGACTTTGCACGTGTTCACGGCCATCTTACGCATGAACAGCGGTGATTTGCCATTGAGTGTCTGGAACTAAAAACAGACACTCGAGTAGGCGAACACCGGTGAGACCCCCATACCAACATAATTTCGTGCTGAAACTACCGAACGATCGGCCGTTCGGTAGAAAGGATATATTGTGTCTGGGGATTCCAGCGAACACCAAGTTATATGCGGATGGCAATATTTTAGTGCTTTTTCACGAACTGGGACCAACCGCAAGGCCAAAACTTATGGAACTATTTTCGACCAGTATGCCTGTGCGGTTGGTCAAAACTTTAAAGCTCCATAACTCCGGAACGGCTAAACCGAATGAGCTGAATTTTGGATATATTGGTCCCCCAGAACCAAGTTATCTGGGGACACCAGACCTATGCCTGTACCCCAAGAAAACATGTTCATTTTTAATTATGGTATGTGGTTATCTAAGGGGAGGAGATGTATGGAATGTATATTGTGTTTATTGGCTGTACTGTTAATTATGTGGGTTTCTCCCTTGCATGGGCAGAATCACATAAAAGAGAGTGTCTGTCATTAAAGCTTTAGTTCTGCTTGACCCTTCAAAACGTAGCCTCGTCTCGTTCTTGAAAGGGGATTTACTACACCATTACTCTGCACCATTTTCCAGCTATGCCTGCTTCTACCCTTGGATCTCGTGGATGGGAATAAGAACAACTCCACTCTTATACAGCATCTTGCCAGGGAAAGGATGTCTCCAACGACTGATACCCCCTCACCATCTGGGTAGCCGTTACAAATAATATCCCACGAATAACGGATTTATGAGCCAACCATAGTGCAGCAGGGTTCGTATCTTCATTATCATTTATACTAAAATAGTGCTGCAATTCATTTAGAATCTTATCCGTAAATGTGGTGTCATTCAACAGCTGTTCATTCAATCTCCATGGACTTCTGTTTTTATATTGATATGAATCTGTCAGGGTAAGTAACAATGGGTTATCTGATTCTGTCGAAATGCCTAGCTCACAGGAGCTTACTTGCTGTATATGTGTATGTAGTGTTGACGTTGAAATGCATGAGTGTATTTGTGTGTGGTGTTGGCGAGATTTTAAGATGTATGCACATATACATATACACACAAACACATACACTGTGCTCTGCCTGCTGGCATCTGACAACACATTTGCATATAATTCACATTAGCCACCCAAATTTCTTGTTGTGGGCTGGCTGACACCTCTTAATTTCGATCTTTGTTTAGCAGATAACTCCCCTTTTTGCTATCCTTATGTGGGCTTGGAGCTATCTGCTAAACAGCACCATCATTTGGTATCTTTAAATATGGAAATCTCACATATGGTCACCAATTTAGGGAATTATCTACTAAACAGCTGAAGGATTACAATTAAAAACACCCTTTTCTTATTTTCAGTTGTTTAGTAGATATATCCCTTATTTGAGACAAGAAAACGGAGATAACAGTATTGTATACTAATGCCACTGGTTCCCCTAGAAAGTTACCAAGATATCCAAGGGCATGAACCCCATATACCGCAATACAGAAAAAGAAATAAGGATAAAGTGGGGTGGTTCCTCCCTCCGCTATATGCGGGTGGATGTCCACTCCACCATGGGATATCTCTTAAAAGTATAAATTTATATGTATGGTACAACCTTTATTAAGCCAAGAACATATATATACAAACTAACTATGAAAACTTCTAAATGTGAGAAAATTATATAGTGAAAAACAAGTGGTAATATACCTTTAAAAGTTGGGTAGGCTAAATTATGAAGAGCCACAGGGATGCCTGAAGTATAATTATGTGGAATACACAGCATCCAAATACTTGGCTACATATAATACTTCAAAACTTGTCAAACATATATTATGTGGCAAAAAAAAAATGTTAACTAACAAAGCTATAAATGGAGATCACTCTATTTACAGGATAAGAGGCTTGGAGTTTCAAATCTATATAACCCCATGTGATGCTATTCCTATCAAGGACGTAGCCTCTGGGCAGGTTATGTATTTATCTCAGACAGCAAATTTTCTGTATTTGATACTATATAAGGTTTCAAGATAACAAAATAGATTACTTGTGAATCTGCTACATTTAGGTTAGTAATGTTGCAAGTTCCACATGTGCACACCTCCTGTTTATCTCAGAGTGTACTGGAGAGAGGGTAATGTAGTGGGAGTCTTAATCTCATGGATTAGACAAAATGAACAAGAACAGACAAAACCTGTGTATTTGAGTGGAGGGTTATCAGGGTAGATTAGAGACACTGGACTGTGTAGTCATAGAAAGAAAAAGTAAAAGAGGCAGATACTTAGCGAAGTAAATGAGGTGAATCTTCAAATTTATATCACCTACAATTAAAAAAAACGCCCATCCGCCAAATCAAGAGACCGTGCTACTACACCTGAACTAAAAACCTCCTATTAACTCAGAATATTCACAGCCGTCTAAACTCTATCTC